CATTCCTCTCAGATCTTTCTCTATTTCTCGGCGTAATGTGTTCCTTGGCCTTCCTATTGTTTGGGTACTAGTGTTTATTTATATTCATGATGAATAATAATAGAACCGTTACTTACCCAGATCAATTGCTTTTTGAATTTGAACTGGACAAGGCACGTTTCTAAACTTCCCGAACAGTTATTCCTAAATCCACCTCTGAGTTGATTTGGTAGTTGTAAACAATATTGGTCGATTGAAAAATTCAAAACAGTATTTCAAGAGAACGGAGTTTTGGGATTGCAATGTGCTAAACGATATCAATCTATTGGAATTTGGATTCTAAAGCCACAAACAATATCGATGCACCGACGTTTTTCGGTTTTCTTGGATTTCCGGTACTACAATAGATTCTCGTAAAACAGAGCCTACATCAAGTCTCGTTGGATGCCATGAGACAAAATGAATGACGAAGAGAGAGCTGTTTAATCCAGGAAATGCTGATCATAAAGATGCGGAACAGTTATCAAACTTAGCTATATGAATGGAATATTGTGCTGTGGTTTTGGAGCAGATAAACTATACAGCTGACTTGAACTCCTCAATAAATTTGGAGAGAATGGTGAAGCTTTCATCACACCGCATGCAAGTCCAGTGGTCACAGCTGCCGATTAGACGGATGGAAGATTATGGAGAGCCGACACTTGCCGAGCTCATTGAGTTCATATCGTCCCGTGCAAAAGTAGCGATCAGTAGATTTGGACGGTTAGCGAATCGCCAAACACTAGAACGTGATATGAAAATGAATTTCCGTCTGCAATCTAGACATAGGAATTCTTCAACCGTTTTTCAACGTGCATCGTACGCGAAGTTTCGAAAAATAGTTGTTAATCGTAATAGTAAAGTACAGTGACCGGAAGATTGAATACGTAAGCCTTATGATGTAGAGCCTGCTGACATCTGTTCTAATGACATGTGAGTATCTGTAGAAGACAAGGTGGTCATTTCGAAGATAGCGATGAGGGAAGAAATGAAAAGGGCTAAGCATCATGAAGGATCAGGGAAGCGTGATGGTAGACGTCCTCTAACTGATTGAGATATGAGTTTAATTGATGTGGTTAGGAATGTGGATTTGGATTCGAGCAAACAATTGATAAAGGAGGGAGTAAACATAAACGAACAAGCGTGAACAACGACACAGCACTTCATGTTGCTGCGTGATCAAAATGTCTGTATACTACAGTATCTAGTTCCACTGAGTATCATAGTGGTCGAGTAAAAGACAATGGTAGCATAGCAAGTACAGCTGGTGTTTACCCACAGTTGGATAGTGATGTTTCAACTCTCTTCCGTAACTTTGAATTCGAACAGAACCTAAATCCGAAATATACCATGGCACACGATATCTCTGGAATTGGCTAAAGCCTTTGACAAAGTACCCCACGCACTTCACATAGTGAAGTTTGCGGAAATGTGATTCACTGACACACTCATATCTTGGATTAGGAATATGAGGTTTCGTAACAAGGTAAATAGAGCGCACGCGAGTTGGCGAGTCACAATATCGGCACTTCTACATCGGACCATCTTAGGTCCACCTCTCACTGGCACTGATCTACTCAGACGATGAGAACATCTGAAGATCGAAGAACATGCCTCAAATATTATCTCTAAATCTAGACGACTCATTGGGTTTATAAACAAGAACTTCTTCACAAGTGAGGCTAAGCTTACTCTCTTCAAAATCTGTATAAGGCCCACACTTGAATATTGTTCACTCATATTTTCAAACATGAATATCATGGACAAAATGCGAGTAGAAAATGTACAAAGAAGCTTCACCCGGCGACTACTCGGATTGAGCAATAACCTCGACTACACAGAAAGATGCAAGCATCTTTCCCTAGAACCTCTATGGCGCCGTCGTCTCAAAAACAACCTAATGCTCCTCTATAAACTAATAAATGGTCTTTCGTTCGTAAAATACCGCCCAAATATGAACCAAGACACTGCTTACAGACTTAGAAACAACGCATATACACTATTAACGGCAAAACACAAAAAATCATTGCGTTCTAATTTCTTTGTAATACGATACAGTCTACTGTGGAACAGGTTACCAATCGCTATTCGTATCTGTGACACAATCACTAAGTTCAAGAAACTAGTTATGCTGTTGCTAGATTCTAAAGAGATTTATCGACTATTTCCAGAACTCACACAAAGTCCCCAGGCACTCTTTTATGGTCCACCAAATATTTAGATAAACCTCAGAAACTAATTATAGACTATGACCATATTGTGTTCTCATTACCACCCATACATGTATCATGAAATGGTAGACAAATCCCCCTGCTCCTACTAACAGCAATAGGTTACGCCTTTGAGGTGTTAACCGTGACTTTTCTCTGCTTTTAAATTCCAATCATTATTTTCATATCTTCATAGCAGTTTTAGTTTTTATTTCTAGTAGACAGACAAATTGACAAGCCTGTAGATGCTGATCAACTACTGTCAATTACAAGGAACTCAAACACCATGTATAATTGTGAGTATCTTCTTATTTACGTATTAACAGTTTAACTTATTTTTATTTCCCCAATTCATTAACATGCGAACACCTTGCCTGCTTACCAACTTATCGCTTTACTCATTAATTTTTAACATTATTTCAACTCTTTTTTTTCTCCTTCTCCTCGTTCCAGCTCCCTGTCCTTCCTATTTCCAAACTACCTATTGACTGACTCATCTTACAAATCATACCATTCGTTTACTTAAAATCAGTGTGATATGCTTCGTGGATATTTTCTCTGGCGAAGTTATCTGGATGGCTTGTAATATGGAGCTAGTAGAGAAAGTGAATTCCGATAAGGTTTACAAAAAAAAAAAAAAAAAAGTTAGAGTAGACTAGAGACCATTATTTACAATCAACCATTAAACGTAAGAGAGCCTAACATCAAAAAAGGAGGGAGGGTGGAGTTTCTGACCAGCATTCATGACGGTGGGGCGATAACCTCAATCTACCCATGTCTGTGTGGCAGAACATTTTGTTTGCTTACGGCTCCTTACGATATAGCAGGATGTAACAAATCAGTGATATTGATGTTACTTTTCCTAGTTAACCTCGTCTACAACCCATGTCTGTAACCTTGCACTGGTTTTTACTTCCTACCGAGAAATCCTATTACAAGCTGGTCTGGATAACTATACTAAAAAAGAGCTCATTCATAATTTCTTGAGCTGCAGAGTTAAAACTAAAAGAATATATAAAACAAAAAATTATATCACTGAGCCTCTTTATTATATTTCGTAAATCAACATTATTACTAACAACTTGGTTCTTCTGAATTTCCTCTATTCTTTCGACTAACTTCCCAATAGTTATCTCACCAATAATTTGTCTTCATTAACCTACATAAGTGCAGGTGTACAGTAATGATATTAAAAAAGTCTGAGTAAACATACCTTTGTTTTATCTATAAACGTATTTTCTGTTCCGCTCCTCGTCCCGTCTTCTTTATTCCTCTTTTTTCAGAACCTTATTCCACTCCTCATATATTAGTCTGGATATTTGCAGTAGACTTGGTTACCCTACCCAAGAACATGTAAAATCATTAGCTGATGAATATCAACCATACCTTTGTACATTTACCGCATCAATTCTTGTTATATGCAAACCTATCTCTACCATGAATCGTTTCTCAGTCCATAAGATGATTGTCGTAACGCAACCTTCGTAACTTGCGCCAATTATTCGTATTGAACATTCCATCTTTAATAACAATGAATCTTGTGAAATGTTTCAGTGACTGTATACCATTTTAAAAGAAATATGTTGCTAATCTTAACATTTTGATCTTGCCTGTAAATTGGCATGTCTCTTGTAACATGTTTGTTATTTGAGAATAAATTATTATTATTATTATTATTATTATTATCTGAAGATCGATTAGAAGCGAACAGGATTCCACTGAGCTAGAAAACGACCTCACATCCATTGAAGAATTGACAGTGAATTACGGTTTAAAAATAGACCGGTCGAAATTTCACGTCAGGTTTATTCTGTCCTGGTATTGTGAATGCTGTTGCTGTCCAGAAACCCAACTGCGCTGAAACTAACGTATCCATTCAAATAACGGCACACTCAAACTCTCAAACAAGTGGTAACTAACTAGAAAGAAACAGTCGATCTGGTTATGGTGTACAACATATCAGGAACGCTAAACCATCCAAACGTGAGCACCATACCAATGCACGACTACCAGCACCACCACATCCGCCACACCATCACAGGCAATCCTCGATAAAACTGCGAATGAAAGAGTGAATACTCATGTTCGGCACAATTTTTCCTGATAAGAGTCGTTGAGACTTGGAATGCTCTCCAAGACTAGCTGACCACCGCCAGCCTCCGCAGTAAATATAAACAATTTGTGTTATCCACATTTACCTAACTATTGTATTACAAACCCATATCTTGTCTAGTTGTTGTCAGTTTGTGATGAATCTCATCTCGTGAATCAACTCCATATTGTAAAACAGCATAGTGAAATAGTGAACAGACCTCGTAGTAACAGTAACTTAAAGAAATGCAAGTTAGAAGTAATGGAGAATAGAAGTCTGTTTTAGCGAATGCTTAATCCACATCACATCGAAATATCGTCTAGATAAGCAGTGACCCTCGAGACATCTGACAGAATGGCATCCTTTAGTCGCTGGAAGATAGACAGACGGTTATACTGAATCAAACCACCATGAGTATTGATAGTAATCAGCTCTCTTGATGCTTCTTCTACTTCCACTTGCAAATGAACAGCAGCTAGACCGTCCGTCTACTAATGGTGCTGTGGTTGCATTAGATGAGCTTAGCTGTGTGGAAGGAGAAATGTTGATATCTGTCATCATGTGCATTAGTTTCAGCTGCTGCTCAAGTAATAATTCAATTTTGGCAGGATCCATGTTCCCAAAACCGCCGTCGCCAATTGAGATGCTTGAATACTAACTATTACGAGATCACGTTACTCGGTAAACGGAGCGCAGATAAATGATGCAGTGATACGATAGGCTATTGTAATCCGTTGTCCACGGCCTGATTAACTATAGCAAGACGTCTTGTTGAGTTTTAGAAAATGAATTTTACAAGCACTGAGAAACGCGAATTTGACAGCATACAAATCGAGCTTATTTATTTATGACGGAAACGTCTTTGGTAGAGCCAGAAAACAGCGTACTAAAATACTGCATCAACCAATGAGAGTGAAGGATTTTCTGAGTGAGAAACGTAAGCTGAAGGTCAACTAATCAACTTATGTGAGAAAACATAAAACAATCAGAAATTAGGACCTTTTCCTTGTGAGTTCCGAGGATCTACCTTCACCAACAAAATTGCAGATCATGGGTCACAAGAGTGGTGAATAAAAGTTCAAAACAATAGATACGGTCACAAATAGCAAAGAAAGAACAACACTGTACTATCAAGTATAGATTTGGTGACGAAATAAAAGTCTTTAAGTTAGGTCACAATTCCAGTTCATATCGATGAGAGAATGATAAGCCAATAAAAATGTGGATTTACATCATCTAGAAACTGGTATTACAAAGCTGTCAGATGCTTGAATTACATCACACACACTACCTACAAATTTCAAGTAGTTAAAATAAATGTACACAATTTCACAACTCATTCATCTCAATGAATGATGTTGTTTTTTAACCAGAACGAAAGAAACATCCGTTTGGATTCTGATTTTATTGTCTCAATTTAGTCAATTGATTGCTTGCTAAAGCATTTACTCTTCTCCCATAAATGCAACTTCGATCCATGTGTTCTGTGTTTGGGATGTAAGATCCCCAGAACTCGCTTGATAAATGTCTTATTTCGGTTTCTCGTTTGCGAGCATGGGCTGATCATTTGAGTTTGAGATTTCAATTCTCAGCAGGAAAATCCATGGCTGTGCTTAGCTGCTGTGTATTTTAGTGTGCTATATTCGTAACTGCCCAAACGACATTTCTATGATGCATAGATAAACAAGAGTTGTATGCTTGATTGTATTGTGATTGCCGAGTGTTGTAGAATATACTTTCTAAGCTTATCAAGTCTTCTGTTTTGCAGTTTTGATTGAAAGTAGCCTACCTAGACGCTGGTTATTGTCTCGTTCGCGTTAACCGACTAAGGTGAACTCGTAATAGCTTCAAGCGTACCTAGTGATGAACATAACATTTAGCATTGTCTTTAGTAAAGTGGTTTATTTTAAACTAAAATGAAAATCTTAAAACAGTAAATTGAAATCAAGTTAGAATTAAGTTTGATGTAGACAACTTGAAATTTTTATAGTTCAGGGCAAATGCATAACATTTTTACTTACTTTACTTTTACTTACGCCTGTTACCCCCAATGGAGCATAGCCCGCCCACCAGTTTTCTCCAACCAACTCTGTCCTGGACTTCTCTCTCCAGTTCTGTCCAATGTTTGTTCATTCCTCTCATATCTTTTTCTATTTCTCGGCGTAGTGTATTCCTTGGCCTTCCTCTTTTCCTTTTGCGTTGAGGGTTCTATGTGAGGGCTTGTCTTGTGACGCAGTTAGGTGCTTTTCGTAGTGTGTGTCCGTATTGTTGGTTGTGTCATTGGTTCTGGAATATTTATCAGTCCAACTGGTATTATGAAAAATGTTCATAGTATTGGTGCAAGTTTAATTATATGGGTGGCTTGCGGAATTTTCAGTATGTTCGGAGCATATTGTTATGCTGAATTAGGAACTATGATTCAGCGATCTGGTGATGATTATATTTATATGTATGAGGCGTTTGGTCCCCTACTTGGTTTTCTTCGTTTATGGACTGAAGTAGTCGTCGCACGACCTGCATCTGTTGCAATAATGGCAATAACATTTGGAAAATATATTGCACAACCAATATTTCCTGATTGTAGTCAACCTGAAATTGCTGTACGTCTTTTAGCTGCAGCATGTATTCGTAAGTTACTTTCTTAGTTAGTTAGGTTTTAAATAGAACCTTGTGTTCAGTAGAAATATATGGTTAGATTTCTATAGTTTATTGTTTCAGAACCAGAAGGCGGTAACTGAATCGTTCAATGTTTGATCACTACTCGAAACCTAGCCGTTTCGTCCTAGCATGGGACTCATCAGCAGTGCGCATCCACGACTCTTGCACCTCACATGATTTGAACCTGGCAATCTGTTGAGATTAAAGTACTGAAAATAGATTAGTTAACAGGTTAACAGAAATTAATCTGTTAGTGTATATTTTTGTACTAACAGAGAATTTACACTAAAATGTTTCTAACGTTACATTTCTTTTTTGATATCAGTCATAGAATACACTTGGATTTCTATTTAGAAATAGTAATAATATATTTTTTTAATCCTGAAATTTTAATAATACAACCATACTATCTATTATTTTTTTTCTTATCCAGTTTTAATAACTTTTATCAATGCTTACTCTGTAAGATTGTCAACATTTGTTCAAGATATATTCACTTATGCTAAAGTAGCTGCTTTGGTGATGATTATTATTACTGGATTTGTACAAATTGGTTTTGGTAAGTTGATTTTATGACAATTTCGTTTTTATGCATATATGTGTGTATATATTCAGGGTCTCTAACTATCGGTTATCATTCTCATGCAGATCCCCATCTTGTAGTTTACATCTGTCAACATGACTCAGTCCACTTGTCAATGACTTCATTGATTTGTTTCATGTTTTGGTTTAGCTACCTCAAACTTCCTTCTAACCTACCCCTACACCACAAGACATCGCTCGTCAGGGTAGTCTGTGGTTAAGCATACGTAACACATGTCCCAACCACCTCAAATGACGAAAATTCACTACTTCATCAATTGACTTGCCTTTCCTTATCTAGTACCATTTTACTACCCTTCTTAATACCAATCAATGTAAGATAAACCTCAATCTACAATGTTGATGACTTCCATTCTGGTTCAGTATATTTCTAAATACTTCCACCCATCTTAGTCAAAGAAAATTTTTGTTTCAAATGATAGTTAATAGTAAAATAGAAGAGAATTTTGTCAACATTACTATTGCGTAATCAAATTTATTCAAGTGAATGTCAACAATAGTAAATTAGCATTGCGTAACATAGTCAACATTATCAAACGATTACATGTATACTTCAGTAGAATAATAATAATAGTTATTATTATTATTTTTAAATGTAACCCAAAAGAAACGAGCATGTTGCTTCATTTAGTAAAGTAATTACAACTTATGTAATTAGTTATTTTAAAAAAAAGTGATAAGAAATAATGATTCCTAATAATTCAGATAAAGAAAGAACAGATGCATTAGTTGACGAGTTATAATAATAATGAGTACTTGTAATTTGTAAAATTCTAAAGATTCTTTTGACTATTGAAAAAAAAATAGGAGGTTGAATGTGACAGTTATGTATACAAGGATTGAGTGTATTGCCAAAAACTTTTGATTTCTTTTCCAAAAACATTTTTCAGCTAGTTCTTCTTACTATTCTAGCGATTTAGATGGTGACATGTTGATTAGTTCCTTTCAAGAAAATCACAATGGGGTAGTGCTTAGGAATTTGTTTTTGTCAAGTACCTGCTTGTATGTCAAACTGAAAAAAATGTACATTTAAGGCGTCTAAAAAGGGGGAAGTTTTTCTTTGATACCTCTATAAATGGGTTTCATGCTGGAGAAAACACTTAAGAGCTCTGCTGAATAAAACAGAATAAGCGATACAGTACTCTTGTCCTGTGTAATGAATACTGAGTACTGCAACGTTTATTGCTCAAAACTTTCCAACGTAATTGAATTTTTTTATGCAGAAATGCTTTTGTTAGTGAATTAAATTTATAAACTTGAAGAAGATGCTTTTAAAAACAATTATTCTTTGTGATCACCTCTTATATTATTCACACGAAGAGTGTAATGATGAACTCCTTCAATATCACCATAAATTCAGCCAGCATTATATCACGAAATGTGTTATTTCGTTTCTCTGAAACAAAAACAATATTCTCTCTCTTTCTTATTCTATGATAGGTAAAGTTGATGGACTTGTTGGTGCATTCGAAAATTCCGATTGGAGTCCAGGTGCACTGACTAAAGCATTTTATGTTGGATTATTTGCATATTCTGGTTGGAAACATTTAAATTGTATGATTGAAGAAATGCATAATCCTCGTCGTGATTTACCATTGGCTGTAGTTATTTCATGTCTTATTATTACAAGTATTTATACAATGGCAAATGTAGCATATGTAACCGTAGTACTACCACATGAAATATTGACTACACCGGCTGTAGCTATTGTAAGTTATCTAAGCCAACGATGAATTTTCATGTCATGATTCATGATTGAATTGAATTTTTCAAAAAAAAATCATTTCTGCGCTAAATGACGTTGAAAAGAAATTTTATTGGGTTGTTACTTACTTACTTACACCTCTTACCCCCAATACAGTGTAGGCCGCCAACCAGTATTCTCCAACATACTTTATTCTAGGCCTCACTTACCAGTTCTGTCCAATTTTTATTCATTTTTCTCATGTCTGTCTATATTTCTCGACGTGATGTGTTCTTTGGCCAGCCTCTTTTCCTTTTACCTTGAGGGTTCTTAGTAATAGTTTGCCTTGTGACAAAGTTGGGTAGTT